TGATGAACCACTGTTGCCACATATGGCCTGTTCTGGCATTTGAAATATGGACGGTGAAAATGGATAATGACTATTGGTGGGAAAAAACTGGTCTAACTAGAATTAATTGCAGCTACTAAGTTTCGGAACCTTACGAATAAACAATTAGCTCAGCTCCAAAAAAGTCTTTCTGTAGATTTCATTTTAGTATACTTACATATCGACTGCTGAGTGGAAGATCGACCTATCTCGGCAACCACTTCGAAAACGCCCTATATCAAAAAAGTTTTCAAGAACGCCCTATTTCAGAACTTTGTAGATGAACAACCTATCTCAGAATTTGGTTAAAGAACGCTCTATCTCAGAATTCGTATCAAAAACGCTCTATCTCAGCACATTTTCAATACGTTTTGAAGTGAGGTCGGACGTTTTTAAACCGCATTCTGAGATAGGGCGTTCTTTAACCAAATTCTGAGATTGGTTGTTTATCAACAAAATTCTGAAATAGGGCGTTTTTGAAAAGTTGTTTGAGATGGGGCGTTTTCGAACTGGCTGCCGAGATAGGTTGATCTTCCTTTTGCTCAGCAGTCGATATGTTTTCATTTGTTGTTGAAGGAAATACCTACAAGTACATATAGAAACATGGTAACATATCGAGCCCTAACCGCCAAAATAACGTAAGCGACACTTTTTTCAAAATTTTCCTTTTGGTGCAGAAATATTCCTAGAGCATCTAGATGCATTTCTGCATCAAAAAGAAAATTTTGAAAAAAATGTCGCTTACGTTATTTTGGCGGTTAGTGCTCGATATTGTTACAAGCAGACATTAACACATTTTTGTAAATATTTCACTTTTTTAATGACGTCATTATTGACACCTACTCGGGCATATTAGTTCAAGTGGTGGGCCAACTAAATGTCATTACATTGCTGGTAAACCAAAGCACAATGCCCATATACTCGTAACATATGGTTCGAGCATTTTCAACTATCTTTTTACTTCGGCTAACCGACTGTTTACAATCCGTTTGACGCTTTGGGTTTTTTTTAGAATTGAAAGGGGCAACTGTTTGGCTATAATGAGGGTTAAAAAACTTTTAATGCGCACCCTTTTGTAAGAACATATTGTTTTCTAGTACAAATTTACATATTTACTACATATGTTCTGTAGAATTATGTTCGCATAACAGTGTGTGTCTACATAAACATATATATGTATGTGAAATAATTCAAGCGAAAGGGACGGTCATTTAACTTTAAATGGCTTCCGCCATTAAATGCTTTACTTTTTATTCCACTGATTCAAATGAAAGGATTGAGTAGAATCGCTTTCGTTATTTATTTATTTATTTAGCACAAAGATGGAAAAGCGAGGAAGTAAATAAATCAGATTACTAAGGGGTGTGATAACAGTTTGCGGGTTATAGTTGCTCTTTAATTACTGTATTACACAGAGTTCAGAATCAGAACTAACTTGGAGCATATCAACATATTTGAGTACATCTCAATGCAACTTCACAAACTTCCCGACTTAAAATACATACCGAGAAGGATTTAAGATGGAGTTATTTACGGGAAAATTATTGAGATGAAGTGATGAAGTCCATAAACTTGAAAGCCCTAGAAACTGTTCGCTTCTCTAATTGTTTTGGAAGACTAAATACTTATAAATAGTAAAAGGATCGATTGTCGACAGTCAACTAAACTGACCTGGCCTTTCTGCGCGTAATATGCGCGTAATTGAATTGAATATTTACCAATATATAGTACATTCGTTGACGTTTATAATAAGATCAATTACGTTTCTATTTGATTTTAATATTTTTTCCCCTCAGTGTAGAACGAACCTATGCACGTACATTTTCATAATTTTTTCTCAGTGCCATACATATTATGATGTGTTAGTACGTATGTATGTAAGTTAATATGCATATCTATTTTACTAAACATTCAGTGTCATTTACCTGGAGAGACTGATGCTCCAGCAGCCTGAAGCGATATTGTTGCCGCCGTTTGTGTTGCAACAGATACAATATGACTAGCAACTTTTTACCGTTAAAGCATAGCACTGTCAGGAAAAAGAGCAAAAATGCAATGAAACCAAACATGCTCTCACAAATGTACTACTAACATACATACATACATACATACATACATAGCTTTAAATAAGCGCTGTAAAGTAATATCACCGTAATAGAGCCAATGAGGGAGTAGTCACTGTCTAGCGAAGGAAATTCTTTTTCGTTATTAGACAATAGTTTAGAGAGGAGGATACTGTTATGCGTTAAAACAAAGCCAAAGCAACACTACTGGCAATGCCGAGAGCTAGCTGGCAAGATGAGATTGCATTTACCAACTACTATGTATTCACTTGATATTTGTTTTTATTGCTATAACTTTTTAGAAAACATTTTTATTTTATTCAAAAGAAGCGAAGAAGCACAGGTGAGAGCACAATGTAATGAAGGGTAATTGAGATGAAAAGAACTTTGGAGACTAGGAAGAGGAGACAAGGGAAAAAGAAAGGCGTCTGTTAGTATGTGTGTAGTTTTAAGAAATTAAATTAAAAATATGTAAATGTTTAGCTGGTTAGCTGCTTAGCGCGGTGCCACAAATAGTCCATGCAAAGTTCAAAGGTCCATGTGCGTTTAAGTGGTGTGCATACATTTGTATGTAGGTAAAGAGCAGTGAAAACTTTACTACCTTTAAGTTTAAAGTTTAATAAGGTTTGTAGACAGTAAGTAAAAAATACCCAGGAGCATTTTGTTTTGTGAACTCACTAATTATAAGCCAAGCTTGCTATTTATACTAAGTCTCACCTTCTTTATTAATAGTTAAAGAAATTTTTTCAGCGGAATCTGCTGCAAACACGAATTGGATTTAGCCAACCTGTTGAACTTTTTTTTTTAACGCACATTATAGCACAATAAATATGAAGCGTCTCTTAACCGAGTAGCACCAAAATGGATAAATGGAAATATTTTAAGCTTTGGATAATTTCAGTATGTATTTGGCCCCTTCTATCACACAAAAGTAAACGTGTTGCTGAAAATGCGAATTTAAGGAGAATTTGCTGTTGAACAAATGTGTATAGCCAGAAACCACCATCGATCCTGGTATGGACATCCTTTATTGTTATTACTGTACACTAAAATGCCAGTAGTAGGAGCCGCATAGGAAAGGTTATTTGGAGTTGTTGAATATCCCGAAAAAGCACAAATACATGGCAGCAAAGATGCACCGGACTTGAATATTTTGAACATGAACATGCACATCATACCACTACAAACCACATTCTTCCTACAAATTGCTCCTTTTGTTTTTGTTTTCTTCTTTCAAAACATACCTATGTATATAGTTTGCTACAGCTCGCAAGCAAACTTAGTTCAATGAAACATTTTATGATACTTCTGCTGTGAAGGATTGTACAGCAAAGGAAGGAGAAGCAATATTAAAAGTACATACAAAGCGTTGTAGTACAGCGGCCATTGTGGCACAGCTGTTGCTTCAGTAAACAAACATTCATTATTTATTGAGGGTTACTTAGTTATTGTTTCTGCGAGTAAATGTTTTAGTGATATTTACACTTTTTACTTCAAGATGGATACATATAATTTATATATTTGCTACTACTTTTCAGGATACGAAGAAACCGCCAACTGCAGGGTCTACAAATCTAAAAACTTCCTTCATAACTAATTTACTTGAGTTTGTATAATTTATTATTATCTCAAATTTATCAGGATATTTGAGCTGAAATATGGCACAACGTATTCGGTTTGTTTACAAACAAAAATTTACTAGGGATGACGAATAATTGTTCTATAATACAAATAGAGAAACTTTGACTTATAAAGAATTAATATTATCGAGAGAGACTTTACATAGAAACTTACTGGTCGACTTAATAGTCAAATCATTAGATTTGACATCAACCCATTAAAGCTCATCTAGAGCATGTTCTGCGACAGAACTGATAACAGCGCCATCTTAGAGCATAGAGGGAACAGATACTTTCTGAATGGTGGGTTCCTCTCACTACTACTGCAGACCGTGGCACGTATGGTTAAGGGTAGATTAAGGGTACACCCTATATGCTCTGACCCAAGGTAAGCTGGACCTGGTGACTAAATGGGTAACTAATATTATTCACTAGGGAGCACAAGATCACACTCTATACTTTTTCCTCGATTGGAGGAGTTCGTCAGCTGATTTCCGAGACGTTCAACTACTTGGATTATATCCTCAAGATGAAGCTGTCATGGGCACCTTAATCTAAGGCAAAAGTGAGGATGGCATTATCTGTTTAATATTGCAACACGAGAACGAGTAATAATCGCTCAAGATAATTGATTGGCTGTATAACATCATAAATATACCTTTTATGCGCTATGTAGCTATCGTCTGGTGAGCTTCGCTGAAGTTACATTAATAAGGCAGCTAGAGTGCATGGAATGAAATGTCTCATAGGTAATATTGGTAATTCCACACTCGTTCTAAAAACAAAGCAACTTTAAGTACTTAATGTATGTACTACAAAGAAAAAGGTGTTTACTATAACTATTTACATACATATATATTTATTTCTAAGTATTGCCTTTACCTTTGCTGGTCAATCAAGCGGAACATTATACAATTACTCCAAGTCAGTGTATGCCTTTTCACTTTTCTTTTTTCCACACTTCATTTCCTTTCGCGTTGTCTTTTGATGTGTAACTCAATTTTAATTTTTTTTTTAATTTTTCCCTTTTCCGGTTGATACTTCACTGATTGCTTCATTAAAAGCCTAAGCATTAAAGATGACTCGCTGAGTACTATGCACTTCGCTTTCTGTGAATAAGTAACTTAACTTAACTGACATTATAATGGAACAA